TATAATTTAGGGCTGAGTTTGAAGAAGAAAGGAAGTGACAGAGCACAAGAAACTGGCCAACTTACCACTTAGTTTCTTTACTCGGGTAGCAGGGGTAGCAGCTCTCCATTTGTGTCTGTGCTGCATGCCAAAGGTCATTTATCTTGGTGCATATTTACTTAAAAAAAAAACAAATTGATCTGTACTTGAAGATAATGTCCCACTGAAACAGTAAAGGAACAATTATATCTCTGTAATATAGCCCGTGTCTTGGGAACATCTTCTTCAGTTATTGAAGCCTATAGATTTTGTGTAAGTTCTGGGTGCACTTAGCCTGCAGCAATGTGTCCTCAGTCAATTTGTCTGACAGGCTGTCAGTCAACTATTTAGGTCCACAGACCGAAATCAATAGTGAAATCAATAGACTTGTGCAAAGAATGTTCTGAAGCAAATGCTTGCATTTATATAGTTCCTTTCACAATTCTCAGATGTTCCAAATAAATACAGGCAATAAATTACTTTTTGAAGTGATTTTGTTATCAGGTAGGGGAAGACTTGTCTATTTGCACACAAAGCCCCATAATGCTGTGTTCAAAGTCATTGCCATCACTGAATCTCCTGCTGTCGATATCCTGGGAGTTACCATTGACTGGACTCTGATGTGGACCAGCCATACAAATACTGGGGCTGAGAATTCTGTCCAGGTAACTCCCCTATTAACTCCTTAAAGCTGGCCTAAAACACAACTCAGGAGTGTGATGGAACGCTCCCCACTTGCCTGGATGAGTGCAGCTCCAACAATACTCAAAAAGCCTGACACCATCCAGAACAAAACAGCCTGCTTGGCCAATACCACAACCCCCACCTTCAACATTCACTCCATTCACACCAATGTACAGTGGCTGCAGTGTGTCTGCAAGGTGCATTGCCGTAACTCACCAATGATCCTCTGGCAGCACCCTCCAAACTCACAGCCTCTACCTCAAAGGACAAGGGCAACAGATACATGGGAATACCAGTACCTGCAGGGCCCCAGCGAAACTACACACCATCCTGACTTGGAATGATATCACTGTTCCTTCACACTCACTGGGTCAAAGTCCTAGAATTCCCTTCCTCCCGGCACTGTGGGTGTACCCTGAGAACTGTGGCGGCTCAAGAAGGCAGCTCACCATCGCCTTCTCTGGGGCAATTAGGGATGGGAATAAAATGTCTGCCCAGTGGCGGTGTAACAAGGCAACGTTTGTAGAAGCAAGATGGCGCCGAAGAATGGCAACACGTTTCCGTGGCGACGATGCAGTGAAGGGACTCAAGGCTGGCTGACTGCTTTGTGCTAGAGTTGGTCTCAGCATCAGGGGTAGATGAGCCCGAATCCAGGCCCATGGCTAAGCACTTAAAAAACTGTAATGTTGAACGTTTAGCTTTATTTCTTTATTTTTCTACCTGTATACTCTATGTCTGGTTTATTTCTATATGTTGCCAGAGAGTGGCAACATTATACAACACTTTCCAGTGTATTTGTAACGAATACATGTAATAAACACCACGTGACAATAAATAAATCCATCATCAACAGATCCCTTGTTTTCAACCTTCATCTTGCCAGCCTCCATATTCTTTAGGTAAAGGTTCTGCCACATCAGCTAGCTCCAGAGTGATACCACTATTGGAAGCATCTTGCCCATCCCATTCTGCATTCCAAAGGGGCCATTTCCTTGGCCTCATTCAGGTCCAATCCTCTGTTATCCCTAATTGCCCCTCTCATTCCTCTAGCACCTTTCAGTTCAAGTGCAGGAGATGTAGCACCTGTCCTTTTCCATGCTTCCCACTCACCATCCAAGGCACCAAGCACTCAGAGAATCCCGTCCAAAGCAGTGGTTTATTTGTACTTCTCTTAATTTAGTACACTGTACTCTTTGTTCACAATGTGGTCTCCTCCCCACAGGTGAAACCAGATCCAGAAGGGGTGACCATTTTTGTGAAATACTTGCATTCAGTCCTCAAGCATGGCCCTGAGGTTCCTGTGGGTTCTCATTTTAAGTACTCACCTTGGTCCTACTCTGACTTCTCTGTCCTCAGCCTACTGCAATCCTCCCCGTGTAAATTCTCTCTGTGTTCTGCTTTTACATATAAATACATGTTTATAACAACAGGCAATGGTTTCATTTATGAATGGTTGTGGAAGGTGATTGGGGCACTGCAGATGGTGGGGAGGTCTGTATATGATCATATTACTCATCACCCATTTCATTGTGTGAGAAAAAAAATGCAGAAATTTACTAGAATAAATGTAAAGTTGCTGTAGTTCCAGTGGATATAAGGCCTGCTCTCTCAATAAAGAGTGACAATGGTGTGGAGTGTGAGAAGATTTCTACTTGAATAACACCAGCTAGGCACCCAACTCTCCGAGGCGATGGGTAGGAGGAGCGAGGAAGCATTCAACATCTCAGAGAGGTGACATTTCAAAATGGCAACACCATGACCAATCAAAGTTGACTTGCCAACCGATCAGCATTTTTCTCGCCTATGGTATAAATCATTGTTATCCTTTAAAATTTTGCATTTTTTTCATTCAGTAATGGGGGGTGAGCATCGCTTGCTGGGTCACCATTTATTGCTTGTTCCTAGTCGCCCTTGAGGAGGTGGTGGCGAGCTGCCTTCTTGAACCGCCGCAGTCTTCCTGCTGTACGTTGACCACAATGCCCTTAGGGAGGGAATTCCAGGATTTTGACCCAGCGACAGTGAAGGAATGATGATAAAGCTCCAAGTCAGGATGGTGAGTGGCTTGGAGGGGAATTTGCAGGTGCTGGTGTTCCCATGTATCTGCTGCCCTTGCCCTTACCAAATGCAAGTGGTCATGGGTTTGGAAGGTGCTGTCTAAAGATCTTGGTTGAATTTCTGCGCTGCATCCTGTAGGCAGATCACGCTGTTGCTGCTAAGTAAGCACTGATGGTGGAGGGAGTGGATGTTTGTACCAATCAAGTGGGCTGCTTTGTCCCAGATGATGTCAAGCTTCTTGAGCGTTGTTGGAGCTGCACCCATCCAGGCATGTGGGGAGTATTCCATCACACTCCTGACTTGTGCCTTGTAGATGGTGGTCAAGGTTTGGGGAGTCAGGAGGAGAGTTACTCACTGTGTTTGTATGGCAAGTCCAGTTGAGTTTCTGGTCAATGGTAACCCCTAGGATGTTGATAGTGGGAGATTCAGTGATGGTAACACCATTGAATGTCAAGGGGCGGTGGTTAGGTTGTCAGTTATTGGAGATGGTGTGGCATTTGTGTGGCACGAATGTTACTTGCCACTTTTCAGCCCAAGCCTGGATATTGCCCAGATGTTATTGCATTTGAACATGGACTGTTTCACTTTTGGAGCAGCTATCAATGGTGCTGAACATTGTGTAATCATAAGCAGACATCCCCACTTCTGACCTTATGATGGAGGGAAGGTCATTGATGAAACAGCTGAAGGTGGTTGGGCCTAGGACACTACCCTGGGGAACTCCTGCAGTGATGACCTGGAGTGAGATGGCTAATCTCGAACAACAACAATCAGCTTCCTATGTGCCAGTTGTGACTCCAACCAGTGGAAAGTTTTCACTCTGATTCCTATTGATTCCAGTTTTGCTAGGGCTCCTTGATACTACACACGGTCAAATGCAGCCTTGATGTCAAGGACTGTCACTCTCCCCTCACCTCTGGAATTCAGCTCTGTTGTCCATGTTTAAACCGAGGCTGTAATGAGGTCAGGACTGAGTGGCCCTGGCAGAACCCAAACTGAGTGTCACTGAGCAGGTTATTGCTGAGCAGATGCTGCATGATAACACAATAGATGATGTCTTTCCTCACGTTACTGATGATCAAGAGTAGACTGATGGGATAGTAATTCATTGGGTTTGATTTGTCCTGCTTTTTGTGGATAGGACACACTTGGGCTATTTTCCACATTGTCAGGTAGGTGCCAGTGTTGTAGCCGCACTGGAAGAGTTTGATGAGGAGTGTGGCAAGTTCTGGAGCACAACTCTTCAGGACAATTGCCGGAATGTTGTCAGGGCCCATAGCTTTTGTAGCTTCCAGTGTCTCCAACTGTTTCTTGGTTTCATGTGGAGTGAATTGGATTGGCCGATACTGCCATCTGAGATGCTGGGGACCACTGGAGGAGGCTAAGATGGTACTCCTGGCTGAAGATCGCTGTGAATGCTTCAGCCTTGTCTTTCGCACTGATGTGCTAGGTTCTTCCATCGTTGAGGATGGGGATGTCTTACATCTGTCCCGATAAGTGCAAATTGAAAATCTTTAACAGCATGACGTTTTTTTTTCATCACTAGTTGGTAGTGACTATATTTCAGGTCAGTGATGTTAAGTGCTACCTAGCCACTCTGGAATGAAGCAGGCCAGCCCATTCTAAATATAGTTTAATGTTCGGTCTGAGACTGGGATCACAAGGAGAGACAACTTCTTCATACCCCGATTGACATTGTCCCCAAATTCAACCTGATCCTTCAACATGACTGCAAACTGTTCCGATAGTCTGACTTTTCCTTCCTGTAAGGTAGCGGATTCCCCTTGTATGCAGTTGTGTCTGATCTGTAAACTTTTGTCAATGAGTCAGGTTACATCACGTCACTGGAAGAAAAGCTAGGCACACAGTTTGAGAAAAACATGACCACAAAACGCAAACGAGAGGTTAACAGAATGAAGTGCTATGTTGAGCGTAATAGTTGGAGTTTTCTATGCAGCTATTGTTTTAAACTGCTGACCAACAGTGGGTTTTCTTAAATATTGTAGGTTGCACCAAAATTAAGCCAGGCTGCAGGCAGGAAACTTAGATCTGCATCTACAATCTGAACATGAGTCAGGTCTTCCTGTGTACAATTAATAGCCTATGCGTTCCAACCTTGAAACTGATTAATTACCTTTGAACCTTCCTGAAGTTTCCTTTGGGCTTTCCTCAGGGTGCCATTAGCTAGCATACTGAGGATTGGAGATACCTGAGTGGAACGTGACATGTGTTTGTTTTAACAGGTGCAGCATGCCGAGCTGAAAATGAGCAATGGCCTGACTCCTGTTAAGAAGAGAAAAGGCAATTCATAGCCCGTGGAGCAAGATGGAGTCACTGATATCTTGATCGTTCGGCTGAGAACTACATTGAGAGCTCCCACTTTGAACTGACCACTGTCGAACTTGTTGTCTCTGTGGGTCTGGGTGTCTATCTTATTCAGCCAAGGTCTAAAAATGACTTTTGTTTCATTCAGTGGAAATATGTGCAATGTTTTGAGTTTAACAATATGATTTGGATATAAGATACTTGGGTCAATTTGAGATCTCTGACGCTATTTTGCCTTTGGTGCCTGTTGTTTGCTCCTTCTCTTCTGGAACTTTGGGATTGGTATATATCTGTGCTGCTTGTCAGTATTCCTTTTAATCACCCTGTGGATGTTTATTCTGTAAACTCAGGTGAGTTATTTAAAGGATGATGTTACATTGGTGCACCAGGTTACAGCTCTGGTAGGGAAGGTAGAGATCTACCTCCCTCATTGTTAATGTTTCAGGAAAAAAAAGTCCACATTGTCCTGTTTACTCTGTTGGCATGACATGATTCTTTTTATGTAGATTTTAGAGGTCTGTTTTTTATACTATTTCTTCCAAACAAGCTACCAGTTTGTTGATCACCTGTTTTGTGCTGCTGCCAAAGACTAGTTTCACTCCCCGTGTGCTTTTCTGTTACTTTTCTACTCATTTCTTTTGCCTTTATTCCTTTTGCTGCTTCTCTCTCTTTCTCTCCAGAATCATGGATTAGGTTTTTGCCCCATCACTTGGTCCTTCCACCTCACAGTGAACAAAGCTTCAATTAGGATGGCCTCAGTGGTCGGGCTTTCTCTTGCTTTGAAATCTCCCTGCTTCTTTCACAGTATAAAAGACAGGGTGTTGCTCTGCGCCAGTTTGGAAGCTGCCAGAGTGATTACAGTGGCAATTCTGTGGGTTTGTGTCAAGTCTAGGACTCTTGCGTACTGACTGTGGTCAGGTGGGAACCATAGATACATTGATAGCCTGTTTTGCGCTGCTGCCAAAAACCAGTTTCAGACCCTATAGTGTGGAGCTGGAGGAACACAGCAGGCCAGGCAGCATCAGAGGAGCAGGAAAGTTGATGTTTCGGGTCGGGACCCTTCTTC